TACCGGTAGATCTTGGAGCCTCTGAAAGGGGATCCTGACTGTTTGGCTGGGAAGCTATCAAGCACTGGCAATTTAAATACCCCTCCACCCACTGTCATGCTGCTCCTGCCCTCTGCCTTGGAGCTGCCTCCCCCCCCCCCCTTGGAGTCTCCTGCTTGCTGTGCAGGATGTGGGAAGAGAAGAGGGGGACACTGATGTCAGGGTAGCCCTCTAACCCCCTCTTCTGTACTCTATCCCCACACAGAGAGAAGGGGATGGAGGGAGCTTGGCAGTGAAAATCTCTGTCAGTCTCACACACTGTGCATCTCTGTCATTCTCACAAACACACACTGTCCTTCACTGTCATCTCCCAACCCAACATGTTTGTGGGGGGTTGTTGTTACTTCCTTCACTGCTTGCAAAGTGTGTTGTTTGTGGTTTTTACCTGGTCTGTGCATTTCATCATTTTCATTTCTCTCTTACACTTAAATTTAATTCTTTGAGGAGTGAGTTCTCAAATCCTAACCTGTCGTGGCTGGGGGAGTTATCCCCATGGTAACTGCTGCTCCTGGAAGTGGCTGGCATGTCCCTGCAGCCCCTGAGAAAGACAGAACAGGGGGGCTTCACATTGATCAATAACAGGAAGCCATGGCCAGTAGAAGCTGTGGGTTCAGTGCCTGTAGATGAGGGGCAGCACATGACACCATGGAGCCATTGTTGCACATGCCAGCTGCTTCCAGGAGTGGTGCAAAGCTAGCTCAGCAGTAAGCCTTCCTTAACCCCGCTGCTTCACCACCCAGAAGCTGTCTCAGTTAAGTGGTGCCCATCCAGAGCCTGCATCCTGAACCCCTTTCTCAGACCTGAACCCCCTCCTGCACCCAGCCTCCTGCCCCTGACGTGAGTCCCCCTGCACCTAAATTCCTTTCCAGAGCTTACACACTGAAACCCCTCTTGGACCCTGATCCCCCACCCTGGGCTAAGCCTGGAGCCCTTCCCACACACTGAACTCTTTGGCCCAAGTCCAGAACCTTCACCCCAACCTGTACCTCAGCCTGGTGAAAGTGAATGAGGATGGGGGAGGAAGGAGGATGAAGCAAGCAGGGTGAGGCCTCAAAGGAGGGGCGGGAAGGAAGCAGGTAAAGGTATTTGGGTTTGAGGTAGATCTTGCATTGCTCTTAAATTGAAAAAATGATTTCATGGTTAAAAAGGTTGGAGACCTCTCAACTACATTAAGCAGTTTCTCTCACCCCACTGGATTTTGCAGTCCCTAATATACAGGTTTGTCCCTTAAAACTGAGCCAGTCTCCTCTGTTGGAATCTTCAGTCTTCTCAGTGTCCTTGTTTGTAGCATAGGTGGGCCAGAGAAAGGTCCTGCCTGTGGCCACTGCGTTCTTTTTATCCCTTAGGCCCACATTATGCAGAGTACAGGCTCAGGCATGTCAGGGGGCATCGTTGAGTCCCCAGGCAAGATTGAACAATTCCCCTGGTGTGGCCTCATGCAGGTGAGTCATTGAATTGTAGCTCCCTTGTTGGACAGTGACTGTCCTTGGGTTGTTTGACACGCCACCTGGGTGTTAATTACTTTCCTTGCTGTTGCCTCTGCAGAGCTTATATCTTTCTGATTCCCCAATTTACGGCATGTTTTAGAGTCAGCCATACAACACAATTATCATAACTTCATATGCAGTAAAGATAAACATATTTAGATAGGGATTTCAGCAGTTCCCCTGATAACCTTACATGGTATGTTTTATATACAAGATCACAATTAAATACAAAATGGGATATATCAGGGGCTATAGGGTGTTTCCCTAAGATATACAGTGTCACAGTCAGCAATAAAAATGTTAAACAAGCTTGGTCCCATGACTGATCCCTGAGTAACTGAGGGTATGTCTAGACCACATAGCTCCATGTTGACGGAGCCATGTAGATGAGTGCACTAGACATAGGAAAATGAAGTGGCAATTTAAATAATCACCGCTTCATTTACATCAAAATGGCCACCGCGCTGTGCTAACCAGCTGTTTGGTGGCACAGCATGGTAGTCTGGACTCTCTGCGGTTGACAATGAAAGCCTTTGTCGACTGCTCCGGTAAACCTCACTCCACGAGGCATAGCAGAGCGGTCGACAAAGGCTTCTGTTGTCGACCACGGAGCGTCCAGACTACTGCGCTGTGCCACCAAACAGCTGATTTTCCTATGTCTAGTAAACTCATCTACGTGGCTCCATCAACCATGTAGTCTATACATACCCTGAATGAGTAACTTCCCTCCAGCCTGACAGTTCACCTTTCAGTCTGACCTGTTGTAGTCACCAATTTAACCAATTCCTTATCCACCTTCCAACTCTTATAATAATCCGAAACTATATCAAATGTCCTCCTGAACTCCAGGTTGATTAAAACTACTGTATTTCCTTTGTCTAAAATATTAGGTATCTTCTTAAAGAAGGAGAACAGGTTGGTGAGGCATGATCTACCTTTTGTAAAATCATGTATGTATTCCAAAAACCTTTCACCTTCATGTCATTAAATACTTTCTCTTTCAAAATTTGTTCCAAGTCCTTGTATACAATTGAGGTTAAACTAACAGGCTTGTAGTTTTCTGGATCACTTTTCTCCCTTTCTTAAAAACTATATTGGCGTCCTCTAGTCAAAGTGTATAAACCCCTGAGTTCACAGATAAATTAATAATTATTGCTGTCGTGCTTACAATTTCATATGTCAATTCCTTCAATAGTCTTTGATGAAGATTAACCCCCGTTCTCTAGTTACGTTCCATTAGATGTTGGAGTTTGACTTCTACTTCAGATTGGTAATTTGTATAACTCCATGTCCTCACTTCCATTAGCTACCCAGCCACTATCACAAAGATGTTCATTAGCCTCACTAAAATCTAAGGCAAAATATGCCTAGATAATCTTTCATCTCTACCTCATCCCTCAGTGCTTAGTGATCCCACTTTTTCTTTTTTATGTATGTGGCTATAGAATCTTATATTATTGGTTTTAATTGCCTTTGCGAGGTTCAATCCTGCTTGGCATTTGGCAGTTCTCACTTCATTCCTATCTTTTCTGACAGCCAAGTAGTAGTTTTAGTTGCTAATCCCTCCCATCTGCCATTCCTTGTAATTCCTTGTAGACTTCCTCTTAATAACCTGTTGGAGATTCTTGTTCATCCAACTTGTTCTGTAACCCTCCCTGTGAATTTTTTCTCCTTGCTTGACATGCAGGCTTTGGATAGCTGCTGCAATTTTGACAGAGTAATTCCAAGCCTCCTCCACATTCAGAGCCTTGAATTCTTGAGTCCAGTCCACTTCCCTAATTCCTTTAATTTGTTATGTGATGAATCACATTCTGACTGTGTTTTCTATAGGATACAGAAAATGGATTCAGTGCACAAAATCGATCTGCTCTGGGAATGAACCAGGATAGTATATTAAAGGAGGTCCCTGTCTGCCTTGTTTAGTGCAAAAGTTGGAAGCAGAGTAGTGCAAAATCATTAGATCAAGATTATTTTTTGGTGAAAATGTAGATTTGGTGACACCAACATTTTTGTGAATTCATATAGATTTTGTTCGGTTGATCTGGTCAAACACAATCTAAAAAAAGCTAGTAAAATAGAAACATTTAGTTTTGAAAAATTTTAAACAAAATATTTAAAAGTTATTAATTAGAAATTACTTTTATTTTAAAAACATTCAGAATGCTCACATTCTAAACAAAATGTTTGGACCTGAAATTAATTTTTTCCATTTTTTGGAAATGCTAGAAAACCAAAAAAATAAATCCATTATTCGCCCAGCTGTAGTTTGAAGGTGTGCAATGAAAGAGTCAGAGGATTCCAGATAAAAAAAAGGATGGTCTTTGGATTAAGGCAGGTGGATGATGCCCTGGAGAAGTAGTGTCTATTCCTGCCTCTGTCTCAGAATTTCTTTGTGATTCTGGGCAATCCAGACTTTACACAGATGGTCACTAATTGTGTGTTCCTCATTTTCTGGCTGCCCAATTTGATGCCTTAGGATCTAATCTGCAGAAGTGCTGAGCACTTACTGCTGCAACTGAAGTTAGTGGGAGCTGTGTGCACTGATCATAGAAAGCCTCTTTGCAATGCTGCAGTGTAGCATTTGAAAAATCATGTTCTGAGTCCCTCAAATAAGATGCACAAAATTATTGTGCACTTTCCCCTTAATCTCTGTGCCTCAGTTCCCTATCTGTAGTCTGAGGAATAATGCCACATGCTCACCTCACAGGGGTTTTGTGAAGATAAACTGGTATTAGTAAAGGATTCAGTTACAATACTGGTGAGCCACATAGAAAAGCCAATGAGGAAACTGATAATTCTATTTTCAGAACAGGCTTGTGTAACATGCAGTGAATAAATCACTGGACCACCTGTTGCACAATGAAAATAAAAACAGATTAAATAAGTATTGCTTTGTGCTGTCCACTGAATGAAGCTGGAGGTATTTGACAACGGAGGTAGCGAATTACCCCATTCTTTGTACAATGAAGTGTTCACTTAGGTGTCTTTATGACTTCTGAAGTGAAAAGACCTTTTGGTTTGCAAGACAAGACTGATGTGATTTCATGGGTGACAGTCAGATAGGCACCAACCCTGTGGGTGCTCTGGGGCTAGAGCAGCCACCAGCAGTCACTTCCTCAGTGCCTCTTGCCCACCAGCAGCCCCACTGATCAACTCCTCCCTCCCTGCCCCAGCTCCTTGTGCCTACTGCAAACATCTGTTTTGTGGAGCCAGGGGGCTCTTGGAGGGAGGAGAAGAAGTGGGGATGGGATGCACTGGGGGGAGAGGCAGAGTGGAGGTGGAACAGGGGCAGGAAGAGGCGTGGGTTGGAGCCTGCGATGAGGAGGGGGTCAAGCATGGGAGATGTAGGCTCCTATGGATAGACATGTAGACATTGAGTTAGGCATTTAAAATAAACAATCTGGTCATGTTTAGATAATATAGCATGTATTATCAGCCATCTAAATTCTCCCATTTGTATTTCATTAAAACCAGCTAGTGAAACAACTCCACCTGTTCTGTTTGAACACATTTCTTCAGTCCCGGGCACTGAGTGTCGAATTCCCAGAAATGATGTCAGAAGTGATTGCTGCTCAGCTACCCAAGATCCTGGCAGGGATGGTGAAACCTCTCCTCTTTCACAAAAAATGAAAATTTTTTTTTTCTTCCTGAAGAGACAGGCTTTTTTTATTTTGTGCCTTTTTTATTTCTTTGTTTTGATCAGGATTTCGCAGCATCAGGACTTTAGGATATTTGTTCTGTTTACCACACCTACCACCTTACTGTGTAAGTTTGATGTCCATGTTGTATGCTCCTGATTTATTTTACTGTTAAAATCACACCTGCTATTTGTCATAAGAAAAGTTTTGTAAGCCAAAATAGGTTGCTCCTTAGAACTTCACAAGAACAATACTTAACAAGGGAAATCTTTAGTAGTCTAAGAAGTTATCTTGTACATTTTTTCTTTCATATTCTTCCTTGAAAACTTCTGCTGTGACATGGAGTGTAATGGATGGGAGGGTCAGTGTGCATATGTATAAATATTAAAGGTCTGAGGACATTAAAATGTATATTAGACACATTTTCTTATGGAAATTTCCCCTTTTATTTTATTAACCTGCCTCTCTAAAGTAGCATTTCAAAGTACATTATCCAGGTTTAGGTTGATAGTGGTACAGTATCTTCACAAGTAGTTAGAATAGTGGCAACAAAATGCACATTTTGTGAGAGAGAGAGAGAGAGTGTGTGTGTGTCCATGCCAAAGAAAAACCGAAGCAATTCTCTGCGAAAATTAGGGACCTGTCAGTGTTTGCCTCCCACTGAAATCAATGAATACACACAGACACATCCTGCTGTTATTAGTCTCCCTAACAATATGACACTTATCTGTAAGCTAAACTACTTAACTCTAATTTTAAACTTGGAGATTTTAATTTTTTTCATTAGCCCCTACGGTATAGTTTAGACACTTTAAATACATTCTAGTTACATATCTCTCTTTAACATTCAGTAATATTTAATGACTACTTTGGTGATCTTAATGTGCTACTGGATTAACTCAGACACCCAATAAAATCAAATTAGAGAGAGATCAAATACAAAAAGAAATGGAAAGAATGATTACATAAGCTTTGATACACAGCAGTCTCGTTATAATGTCATTCAGTGGACCTAAGCATTGTGAGGTTTATAAAGACAAGTTGCTATAATTGGAATGATTATAATGGAGGTTAATGTGGGCTGTGAGTACAAGTAAAGTACCCTTATGTGATCAAAGAGAATGACTTAAATTTTATAATGGGAGTGAAAGGTTTTACTGAAGAATTGCTGTAATACTTTATATGAAATAGATATGAAACACCTCACATGCTTCCTTCAGGCACATTCAAGCTAGAGAGACATAGGTCAAGGGGAAACAAGACTCACTATTAGGCTACAAAATCATTACACGAATTAGTGGTTTTTATCTGCCCTTGTAAGTATGTCCTATTTCTCCAAAATCCCCCCCCAAATGCCTTCCCCAGGGGTTACCAACTAGTTACACAAACAGAACCAGCAGGATGAAGAGAAATGTTCCTAGGTAAGCTGGAACAATGCTACTTTGTTTTTTACCAGATTTGAAATTGTAACTTTCCATGGGCAAGTGATTTTGATTCTCTTTCCACCACAACCTGACTTTAACTCGGATTCATAAAGCATTTATATTTTAATAAATTACAGGTTTACACTGTAGAAAGAGTTCTTTGGTTTTGCATTACCAGAGTGCTGGTGGGGTGTTTTTATAAGTAATATTTGCTTTCACTATTTAAATTTGTACCTAGGCTACATGATTCCCACCCCCACCCCCCCATGTGCTCACTAATCCATGGTATAATACCATTTCTTCAAACTCATTGGGAAGGTGAACATTGCTGCATGTCCTGAAAAACTGGTGAGATTTATCCTTCACTAAATGCATGGCCAGTGAGTGACCTATTAAAACAAACATTCTTGCCATGCCATAAAATCACCCTAAACATCCCACTTTTGAATTTGGAACATGGAACAGTGAATATGAGTGCCTTAAGAATGCCCCTAAATTCAGGCTGTATAAATCTCTGTCTCTCTTTCTGCAGTATGTTCCAGGTGGTACCATTTTAATAATAATTTTCTATTGCTGCCTTCAGTGCTCTGGCAACACACTTTATATGACAGGTACCTCCAAAATAGCTTACACTTGCTTCAGGGGTGTCATCAGCAAGTGCCTAAGCCATCTTTTTGGAAATAAATGGTAAATAAAAAAAATCCAAACTAATGAACTTTTTAAGATCTTAGGGTATGTCTACATTACAAAGTTAATTGGAACTAACAGACGTTAGTTCGAATTAACTTTGATAGGCGCTACACAGGCAAACTGCTAGTTCAAACTTAATTCGAACTAGCGGAGCGCTTAATTCGAACTAGGTAAACCTCATTCTACGAGGACTAATGCCTAGTTCGAATTAAGTAGTTCAAATTAAGGGCTGTGTAGCCACTTAATTCGAACTAGTGGGAGGCTAGCCCTCCCCAGCTTGCCCTGGTGGCCACTCTGGGCACCATCAGGGAAACTCGCCTGCCCCCCTCCCGGCCCCGGAGCCCTTAAAGGCACCCAGCCAGCAGATTCTGCACCTGGCACGGCACGAACCAGCCACCCGCTGCCACCCAGCCCTCCGCCTCTTCCTGGGACCAGGCTGGAGGCTCCCGGGAGCCTGCCCAGGTCCGCAAGAGGCGGGCGCCCACCTGGTCTAGTGCGGAGATCGTGGACCTCATCCACGATCTCTGCACTAGGCACAGGAAAGCGGCCGTCTAGGGCAGGATAGCTGCCAGCC